CCCCCAGTCAAGCGTTGTGCATGAGCCTGTCATACGGAACACACTATCAGATCGATGTGTCAAGCTTGCTGTCTATCAATGTTATATTCTGACACATATAACACGGCGGGTTTTTTTTCACTTATCAGTACACAGGACTATCCTCAACCAACCCTAAAAAGAACACATAAGGCCAAGGATGAACCTGGTAGTCATGAGGGTAGTAGGGGTAATGTATGGCACAGGGGCTGAATCTGACTGGGAAAGTAATACAAATCTCTCTATTTGAAAGTCCTTGGACGCAGATATCTTTTTGTTTACCATTAGAACCAGCGGGGACAATATTTCAGCCTTGAAATGGCGGTTATTATTTCTTTACTGGCATGTAAACATTACCACTCCCATATGCCGATGTCAGCTAGTGTATTTTCTAATCCGCGTCTGAATAGACAAAAAAGCTTTTAATTTTTTCCCAGGTCGCCTGCCAATTCTGTTATTTGCATTTTCTGTGATGTCACAATTTGACATGTTGTCACAGACTTTTGTGAAAAATCTGCGGTCTGTGAAAAGTAGAGAGCCGAGGGCAAAGTTGGAGTAATCGCTGAGGGCATGAGTAAACAAAAGAGTCCTCGTCTGTTTCCCAGATAAAGAGGCAGCATAACCAGCTAAATATGAGGGAAATGCATTTGTGAGCGTATAAAAAGACAACCCAACCCAATAAATGAAATGACTCCGAACAGAATGGGCTACATCAGCACTTTCAAAATCTGTCGGTATATGAAAACAAAGCACGAATCTTCGATCTTACTTAGAATTCAAAGTGATTATCTAAAGTGTTTTCTGTGACTAATCATTAATAATGTGTGCTTTCCTTGAAGAATTACTGCCAGAGATCGTGGATATTTGCAAGAGGGTTGCAGAGACGCTCGAGTAGTTCATAAAATCAGTCTCAGAAATATTGTCAAGAAATTCAGTGACCTTGCTTAGAGATAAATAGTCCCTAATGTCTCCGGTGATTTTCATTTGTGATGGCAATGTTTTACGCCCCAATCAACTACATTTAGATAATTTAGAAAAAAAAGCTGACTGCTTCGGCACTGCCTGTCAGTGTGAGGTATAACTGTAGGATATAGAAGCCTGCAACAAGAACAAATGAACCCGATTTTTAAAAAAAATCAAGCAAACCAAAACTTCCCCTCAAATATATGCCTTGTGTGTGCAATAGCGAAGAGCTCATCGTTTTACATCAAAGACAGAAGTTTTGGGGGTGGGAAATCGTGAAATAAAAGTGAGATTTACCTTGCTATAATTCCAAAGAAAAAGTGCGTACACGCACACTCACAGATACACACACACACACACACATACACACACACACACATACACA